CAGCAGAAATGAAGAGACAGTTAAACTTCAGACCCCAAAAATTAGCAGAGAAACGGATTGCATTAATAAAGCGATGAATTAGATGGAAAGGCAAAGATTATAAAATGTTCCGATGTACGTGAGAAAGAAACGCTAAGAGCTGTCACCTAAAACACAATGTGCTTATTTTAAAATACGATGGTTAAAAGGATATGAATTTTTTTTAATTTTAATACTAATTTTTTATTATAGCGTAAGTTTTATCGTATTTTGTAAATAAATCCGTTATAGCCTGTTTATATCTTGCTATATGAATTTCTTTTCCACAGAAATTTTCCGATATGCCTCGGATTCATGATAGCGAGGTTGATCACTCCGTCTCCCAAAATTCCGCGTTGTAGTGAGGTTTACTGTATTTGTATTACCGAGCTACCTAATATAACAGAAAAAATTCGTTTTCGCATCGTCAGAACATGATCCCGATATATCGCTACCTGGCTGAAGACACTCTTTGTTGTCAAGTATCTAACAGTCGAGTAAAAGCAACTGCATTGACAATGGTTTAGTTCAGCCGAGTGTGAATTTAATTATGTCATTAACTCTCGTTATTGTTTCGAGGAGGAGGAGGGATTGTACCGTATGCTGATTATCACGTGACATTCAGCTCTCGGGTGATCAAATCAAAGTACAGTCATTAGAGTTAGACAGTATGACCACACCGGAACACAGCACGGTTCTGTTTCCGTCTTGTTCGCAGGTCAGCGACTTGCTAGCTGTTGCTCGGTTGATTACACAGAAACACTATGGGGTGAATTCCTTACTGTATGAAACTAGTGGTTGCGAAATATGTTGCTTTGATTCAAATGCGGCACATTCAAAGTTTTCAGCCAATCGCTTTATGATTGCGCAATTGCACCCCAGCAAACAAACATCTTTAGAATGTATTTGTCATTGTTGATCGGCTCGTTGTGTACTTCACGTAGATGACCGCTAAGACCTTCCGAAGCAAGGGGGTAGGGCAATTTTTCGCGTAGCCCTTGTAACGACTGGCATAGATTGCTCTTTAGCAGTTTACCCACAAACCAGTTTTCTTAATTGCAAAGCAAAGCTTAACATTTTTAAGCAGGTTATGTTTTAAGCACATTTGGTTTCGGTAGATTGGTCTTCAATGGATGCTAATCACTCTGGCATCGGGAGGGTTGCTCCTCTGTAACCAACAGCCGATTTAGGCATCGTAAACGGCATGCCGTGTAGAAGTGAGTAGCTGTCATTTACCGCCAAATAAGGATAAAACAAGACAAAACTTACACCGTCAAGGTCTATGGATTTCCGTCTGTATTTTCAAACAATTCTGCTGAGGTGAAATACATTCCGACCATACACATGGCTGAGAGAACTTGAAGAAATTGTCCATGTTAATCAGCAAACAATTCACGATTAACAGCTTTAGGTCATGCAGGTTATCCCCTTAAACGAAAGATAACCATTCAGGGAT